CGCTGCCATTGGCCAGCAACGGGCGCGCGCGCTTGCGCGTACGGACGCTGGGCGGGGGCGCGGGGCGGGCCTGCGACGCGGGTGGTGTTGTGACGCCGGCCTCGCGGCCGTGCGGGCTAGTACGTCTCTCCGGATTGGTGGATCGACAGCCAATGGAGTCAGCGCCTGGGCTATGATTGGCCGGGGCCGTGTTGACGGATGCGTGAGAAGAAAACGCTGCCTCAGCTCAGAGTCTTGAATCAGGCGCGAACTGAGTTTTTAACGACAAAGTGTAAAAGTGCAATTGAGTCAGATAAACGCGCCCTTTATTAGATTGAGAGTTTGCTTTTGAAATTCCTGAGCGTAGCGGATGGCGCTGGGCACTCGGGTCATGTTTCTCCGTCATGGCGATAAAGGAGTGTGTTCTCAATTCTAGTGTGTATTATAGAGGCAAAGGATAAGAAAGATGGTGTCCCAGGGTCCAGGCCTGGAAGGAGCACTCATGAGCCATAGGGATCTAAGGGGAGGATAAGAGAGATGGTGTCCCAGGGTCCAGGCCTGGAAGGAGCACTCATGAGCCATAGAGACCCAATGCACAGTGAGATGATCACAATGATCCTGTACTGTAATTACGTGATAGGACTGACATCAGTCTGATAGGACTGACATCATCAGCCATGTTACAACACGAGCATATGTACTTCGCAATACACCTTGAACTTACACGATGCTACTTGTCGAATTTTTTCCATAAAAAATTCTAGTATCAGGCGCCTGGGTGGCTCAGTTGGTTAAGCGACTGCCTTCGGCTCAGGTCATGATCCTGGAGTCCCGGAATCGAGTCCCGCATCGGGCTCCCTGCTCAGCAGGGAGTCTGCTTCTCCCTCTGACTCTCCTCCCTCTCGTGCTCTCTCTCATTCTCTCTCTCGCAAAAAAAAAAAAAATTCTAGTGTCCATGAAAATGAGGTTTTTAAAAACGGGATCTGCCCTGTACCTATGTGATCCAGCACCTAAACTGTCGGATCCAGTAGTATCTGTACTTCCCTCTTTTATTTTTTCACTTTTTAACAATGTGGACCTTTTCCCCGTAGCAACTCTTTTTTTTTCTTTAGTGACAAGATATCGCTTTGTTCAAAGTTAATTTCGAAGTTGAAGCACACGTTGCTAATGCGTTTGGGAATGCAATCTGTCCCCACGAGTCAGGCTGATTTCCGATGGGATGAAACGGGAGGTACCCTTGCCTACCATCTTCTTGCCAAAGGAATCCATACGCCCCCCCCAAAGCGTTGCACCTCAAAAGTTCCGTCGAAACCAGTGGCTTTGCTCAGAAATACTCTTGAACCACACCCTCCTCCTTGAGATGAGACAAAGCAGAGTACAACAAACGGCCTGCGGTCCAGAAGACCCGGCAAGAAGATGAACCAAAGAGGAGGGAATCTCAACGAAGATGGCAGTTCCGTTTCTCGCCCACATTCTCTCAGCTGACCGACACGGTTAGAAAGGTGTAATTGCAGGAGCGGGTCCCAACAGGCTCTGCATCCTCATCACACCTGCAAGAACATCACCAGCTTCCCTTCTATGCGAAGAACAGGCGAATCCTGACCTCCTAGCTCCCCTTTCCGAGCTGGCGTTGTTGATTCTAGACAGCGGCTGCGACGGGGAGAAAATGCCCCGCAGGACCCCGAAGCTTGCCGCCCCCGGGGACGCGTCAGGAGACTCCTGCCCTCGGCGCCTTACGAACACTCCCGACCGTCTTCGGCTCTTTCCGGCCGCTCGGGGCGCTTCGGGCGGCCTCGGCATCCGCCGCGCTCACCTTCGGCTGTTTCCGCGTACCGCGCGCAGCCGTTGTCTGGGCAACGCGCGGCGGCGCGACGGCTCGGATGGGGTGAGTGGGGTCGGAGGGCGAGGGCGGAGAGCGGCCGGGGAGGGTCTCCCGAGCGGCCTGGGGCTGGGGAGCGGGGAGACGGCGCAGCGGGCCGGACCCTCGTCCCGCGGCCTCCCAGGTCATCTTCGTCCGGAAACCGGGCCTCGGCCAAGCGGGTCGGGTCCGGGCCGGCGGGAGCTGGGCGCGGCGTCCGAGGTCAGCGCGCGAGGACCGACACCGCGGGCGCCGCCGGGTCC